AATATCTATTCTTCCAGAATAGTTTTAAGCTTACTCATAGTAGCAGTTGAAATTAGATAATTTGTCGAATTTTTCCTGGGTTGATTTATTCCTTTTTGTGTAAAGGTTTGCATTGCTGAATACTTTGTCTAGAAGTTTGCTTAAAGTAAGCGCGAACAATCAGCTTAACATTCCACCGAACGTTTACTTTCCGATACGAATTCAGAACAACCCTATTTTAAAACCAAAAATTCGTTTATACATAAACTTTGAGTGATTACGAAAGTTGACGGATAAACTATAATTATAAAATAATTTATTATAGTCCAGTTACATACACATAGTTAGCTTGTTAGACTTGAATAAGACGATGTGAACAGCTTTTGCATGGTGGTATGAATTTCTTTAGTTTCACAGGGTTCTCATCAGTTGTATACAATCTAAGTAATAAGATACATTAGTAAATAGTGTGACATAATTTCAGTATACTTTGAATGAATATTCAGACGATGTGTAAATTATGAAGCAAGTTAGAATGATCATTAATGATCAAACTACAGAAATTATAAATGTAAAGAGAGGAGTGTTCTAGAATTCAGTAATAAATTTAGATATAAATGGAAGTCAGAGCTCAGTGATACCAAAAGTCTTACTAAAAATGAAGCCAAAAACCAAGTTATACTTTAAAAATGCAATAAAACTCTGACGGCTTAGAGTGAAATAATCGATGCTTACTTAAACTGTAACAATTCCTTAAGCTACTAACAGTCTCTTAGTGAAAACTACTGAAGTTTTAATCTTCGGATGGAGACCATTTTACCTATTTGATGAAATCGTCTTACTTTGTCTTTTTGCCATCTTAAATGATAGAGATATATCCACCTGGTATCTTGTAAAGATCAGGTAGGGTGGTGATGTTAAAATGGTTTTCAACTATTCTACCGCCATTTCCTTCTGACGAAGCTGTTGTATATATATATATATATATATATATATATATATATATATATATATATATATATATATATATATATCGTCAACACTAGCATTGTGGGGAGAGCTGGCTGTTAGCCAAAATTGGTAGACAGTAATTTACGTCAATGTTTATGTCCCCAATAATGGTCGTGAGAAAAATGAGTAGAACGGCTTTCCGTAGGCGGATACAGTTAACATATAGATGATTTAACATTCAAGAAACAGCCACATAGGGATGCAAGGTTACCTTTCTGTGAGAAACAACCAATCAGAAGACTGTGTTTTTCTGCTAACAATAATCTAGAATATGTACATGAAAATCTACAAATACGTGTTGATTTCCCTAATAAACGATCTGTTGCCTGGCCCTTGCCTTCTGTTGTTACAATGTTACTCCAAGAAAGCAACTATGTGTCCTGATGAGAATTACACAAATAAATGCAAAGCAGCCATGAGATTCCATCAAAATTCTCATCGCAAACAAATTGCAGACCACAAATCGACAAGAAGAATGATATCAGGACGGTTCTGTATAGAAAGGCTGGAGGAATGGGGACATTAAACTCAATAGATGAAGCTTTAGTCCAGTAAGTCACACCTTGAACTTAAAGTTACAACATCAGCCCAGGCTTTTTCAGATCAAATTTTCAAATTACAATTATATCAGGTCTCAACGGCCTTTAAAAATTCAATTTCTACCCCAAATGATGCTAAGAAAAGTAATGACAGTGAGTTTCAGCTGAATGCCAATCAACACACCACAAATGATAATAGAACTACAAATGGCCAATAAAAAGTCATTTCCAACTTTTTCAGAATGTTTGAAAGAAAACGGAGAAACTCATCGAAGATATTTTCTCGGCGGTTCATATAATCATTAAAATATTCTAGATTCATGTAGCGGTAAATAATTCCCCCAAATTACTGACCATAGGAATAGATTATGTCTAAGAGAAGAATTACATCGTGACCATAGGAATCATCAGTGGACATTGGATGCTGACCCCTAGAGTTTAAGTCGACTTGTTTAGCTGAAGGCCTCCGGTCAAGCATCCTAGCCATTTGGTACTCCGTCGCGTCGCTTTCGTGCACGATAACTAGCCAGCCTAGCTTCCGCTTGAGTCCGCGATTCGGTTCCGAAATATATCTCGTAATTTGGACAATCAATTTTGTTTTGCTTTGCATTTGATACACGAGAAACGAATCATATAGAAGTTGTTGGTATGAGATCTTGCGTTAATATACTCTGTACAATTCGCGAACGTCTATACCGTCAACCTTCAAATACACAATCCATACTAGCCTCGATAACAAAGAGACATACAGAGTTATTTTTCATAACATTTTAATAAGGAGGCTATTCGAACATTACTGTCGGTCTGAAGTTCATCCTTTAAACGCTCATTAATTGTCTTTTCAACTATTGCAGGATATTGTAATTAAAATCGAACTGAAAATCTAGGTTAAATCATCCATTACCGACTGAAACTTAGTGGCTCAAAAGAGTAGTAACATTACTGTAATGATCTCTATCTGAAAATTCCACAATCTATCATTAGTACTGTTTCGGAAATAAGCAAATTATTATTAAACTATAGGCTTATGTTAACACGTTTAGGGCATCCATAAAAAAAGTAAATTATACATAGTGTTCTATTTAATTTCTAATCAAGCATATGCAGGTTATTGGTGATCTAACCCACTAATTTAGTTTTGCTGGTAGTTCCTATTCAGGAATAATTCGAATTTTGTTAATTCTCTTTGCCTGTATATGTTTTAGGGATATGTGAAATAACTGCATCGTGGATATATACACTGTGTAGCTAGATTTTAGCTAACGTGTCATTACAAAATTTAATAAGGTCATCCCCTTTGTCATTCCTTCATTCTGCACATGAATTCAGTTTAGTATTTAATGCAGAAAGTACTAAACAGTTCAATTATAAAATAGCACAACTACCTTTCGTCTAACCAGCAATTCATGTAAACAATAGGGTCTGATTGGCGATAATTTATATGATGTAATGTAATTAATTCAGCTTAGATATTAGGCCAATCAGACTATACAAAATGAATATCAAAAGTTCCTAATGGTGACAGTGGATCCACTCAGAAGACAAATCAGACGATTACTGGAGACTCTATTGAGGAGGAATCAGAAGTGACTAACTTGCAATGAGATTCTTCAACCTCCAGGTAAAAGCATCACGTGTCATCTTAGATCACCAGAGACACTAGAGTAAGATCGCTCATCAATCCAAGTCGGCATACGTCTACAGTAGAAAACAGCTTTATGGAACTTCAGAGATTATTGGGAATGCGGTGACAATACATTGATAAAGAGACCGAATCTCGTAATGATGGACGCTTTTGCAGAGGATAAAAGTGTATGGGCTTCTCACCAGAAATGATTTTGATTTGTACAATCAAATGTTTTTAGTCAAGAGCTATCATGACAGTAAATGGTAAGCACTAAATGTTTAACAGCTCATAGTACTGTCATCGTTTGTACTGCTTTTGTCAATTAATTCACAATTGTTGTTTTACATACACTTGTAGCGATCTCATAAGAAAGGTTGATCCATCGTCCTATTTGATGTAGACTAACCACCACTCATATAAGTGTTTTTCCTGCTTCAGCATGCATTTCCAGCTCCAGGAGCAAGGCTTTTTAAAATAACTAGTAGACTTACAACCACAAATTTACTGCGTTACTTTAGGATTTTATAAATTTCAATTTTCGGGAGCTGTAAAACAATGCTACTCTCAGGCAAAATTGACTATATTCTTTATTGCAAAGCCTCACACACAGAAAGAGGGTTTTCAGGCTATTATAGAAGTACTTTCAACAAAAATCAAAAGACAAAGCAAAAATTTAGTTATTTATTGCCAATAGAATATCGGAAAACAACGGTAATCTGATAAACACAGAGGACATTTACATACATAAATGGATACATATATGTTGTGAAGCATGAGATAATACTGCACCTATGGATTACCTTCAAAAATTGTGATCATTGTGGTTAAGTTGCGGTTACCTTTGTTCTGTTATACAGCTTTCTTACGCATGCGAGAAACTGCACAACATATTTAAACTTCTGGAGTCACGGAATAATTACAGAGGACAATCGGCAAAGAAAACTATGAAACGAGATTACATTTAGTTTAGTTCCAAGTGAGTGAGATCAACTCTCATTAAATTTGCCAAACTTTATTGGGTTCGTATAACAGTTACTAACTTCATACATTCGCAGATATACCTGAATATTCCCTAAATTGATTAGCCTAAACTAATACAAATAAACAATCAGACAGGTGTATTATAAGAAAATCAATGCAAGTGGAAATATCCGCCTTCGTTATCTACTGAGAAGTCGTATCAAGCTTCAGAAAATTTACTCCTGTTTATTCATCAACTAAAATTTCTGAACTTCTGAAAGCCAAACACTTATTTAGTTCATGAACCAAAGTACGAATTTCGTAACATACTTACTGGAATACGATGACTGCAATGAAGTGGACTACATAAAGTGGCGGGCTACCGAATCTGAGCCATCAGATATAGTATTTCTATCCGTTCCCACTCCATGATTTTCAGACGCAGTGCAAACATTTGCACATACTGCATGAGCATGCGGAATTCGAATGTCTGGAATAATACTTATGCATTACGTTTCATTCATTTCAGCCGGGTGTAAGCCCAACATAGATGGCAGGTTGGGAATGAGGCTAATGATCTTTTCCTGTAGAACAAACGCCACTGATAATAAGGCTCTAAAGCTCTACCTTGTAACCCTATGTTTCACCCGGAAAACAAAGGAATATAAACGAACTACACTTCGAATTCGACGCTAACCTAATTAGTAGTTTAATCAAGGCAGCAGAGAATGAAACTGGAGTGAGAAAGTTAACACTAACGGAAAAGTAATGGAAAGAAAGAAATAATAACCACATGATGTGAATTAAAAGTTTAATTTCGATAAAACTCATAGAAAGTTCTTATAAAAATATTTGGTGAAGTAAATTCTGACAACATCAAAACTCTACAATTTCTTCAGCAGTTCAGAAGCTTCAGATTTTGCCTAAATATGTGAGAATTATATTAACGAACACTGGATTACCTCTTCGGTCTCCAAATCGTCTCCTTTGAAACCCAAAACTTTCATACAATATTCTCTTGCAAGTCCGTTGTTTTTCAGTTTATGATAAGTCTTCGCTAAATACAGAGAATTGTTCACAAGAGCACCTGGAGCGACTATAACAGACACATAAAGTCAAAAAAGGTAAATTACCATTTTCTGACTCATTAAGAAACCTTAAGGCCTAATGTATTACTACGTTTTTATTACCATGACGTACCTCTTCGTATGAAGATGTTGGGGGTGTACTGAAAAGGGCTGCAGCAACTTTTCTCTTCATCCACGAAAGATCGGCTACTTCAAAACACCTGTTAAGTGTTGCTGAAGGCTACAATATGCTCACCATCTTCCCAGAGCATGTAATGTTCCGTAGTCTTTAGGGTCCGCTTTATACGCTTTCTGCAAATATTTGAAAAATAACTTAACCTCACCAGCCAATGTTCCCTCATTTTGAATGAGTTTTCTATGCGCTTATTTATCCCTTCAAGCTGGGTTGTGTAATTCAGAAATACTGCATACCACTGTCAGAATAAAATTATTTTGAATTAAGTAATTCGTATACGAATGTGTATACACATGAATTACCGAGTTGCACTTTGGACATTCTGAATTCAACTTAAGTCCTGCTTCACAGGCTGCAAGTCCGTCTTGCACATACCACCTGTATACATTTTTATCACTTTTACCGTAAGAATTAGCTAAGGAATCAGTTGTCGCATAATTGATGTGATTACCTAAGTCTCTGCAGCTGCAGGCCTTACGCCAATAGAGGTCAGAATGCTGCATGCCCTGCTGTATTGCAGTTGTAACAACATCATAAGCCTCTCTGTATTTCTTAGCATCAGAGAAGTTTTTCCACTTTGTTATTATTTCATCCATGGCGCTTATTACTTTTTGTGTAGATAAACTTAACTAACCTTGATGTTAAGGAGTTTAAAGTAGTGCTTTCATCATATAATTGAATACATTTCAGACAATACCTTTAAAATGCTGCGATTACTGATTATCTGATTCCTTGTTGTTCAGAGTTTGATATGAGCCTTCATTCGTGTGTTCGATTCGTATTAATAGGTTTGGCTCTATGATTCTTAGCCACGTTTCCCAACCCCTATGGCTGCATGCGGAATGATGCTACAGACCAATAATGTGCCACGTATCACTGCTCTCCGATCTAGGAGACAAGAACTCTGGTTTATTTCACTGTTTTTTGATTCCCCCAGTCTTGAAATCAGTCATATTGGGGCCTAGGTAACCCGTTTTAGAATAGATTGCCGAGAATCTTCCCACCCTATGAGCTCATACTATCCTAGGCTACACATTATGGACATGTTAACACCAGAACTTATGCAGTTTCACCTCATACGTTTTCAACTGGTAAGTAGCCATTCAGAATTTACCTTGTATCGTCACCTACCATCCCAACCACGCCTTTAACTTTGATGATGCCTGGCAGGTTTCGGTCAAGTTCTGAGTCTGTGGCGGTAAATAATTCCCACAAATTATTGACCATAAGAATCACCAGTGAACATTGAATGCTGACAATTAAAGTTTAAGTCGACTGGTTTAGCTGAAGGATTTCGGTCAAGCATCCCCGCCATTTGGTACTCCGTCGTGTCACTGTCGTGCACGATAACTAGCTAGCTCAGCTTCCCCTTCAATCCGCGAGTTGGTTCCGAAATATATATCGTAATTTGGACAACCGGTTGTAGTCTTTTGCTTTGCCTTTGGTACGCGAGAATAAAATAAAATAGAAGTTGTTGGTATAAGAGCTTGCGTTAATATACCCAGTACTGTTCACGGACGTCTATAACGCCAACATTTGAAAGTCCATAGCCATCACAGTTTTATCAATCATCAGGCTGCGCACAGCACTTCTGGCGCTGATATATCTGTTTGCCATCAGCAAAGAGGAGTTCTTGGTATTATCTCCTCTCTGTCTTATACCAAGCTCAAAGATATACACAAGAGCCCAACTAAATTTGATAAGTTCTTTGGCACACTGGATATACTTGGCTGGAAACAAACTGTCACTGCACCCACAAGAGGTAATAACGTACTAGACTTAATCTTCTGCCACAATATAAGTCCCATTTCAACCCTAGTACGCTCTGAGTTTTCAGGGAGCGACCAGAAAACAGTGATGCGTGAACTGCCACTTCCACTGAGTAGCAATGCAGCTCATATCTCCACTTCACAACAAGTAAAATATAGGAACTATGGTAAGGCAAACTGGGCCTTAGTTGAGTCGATGCTAAGATCCTCCAAATGGGATGAATACTTCACTACTGATGACCTCCCGAGAGCCCTAACCATCTTATACCATAACTCAAACACGTGCTTAGATGCTTTTATCCCACTCCAAACACTAAAGGTTTTCTCACATAGAAAGTCATTCAAAAAACCAAAGGATCGTATGAAACTGAAGAGACTCTCAACAAGTTACTTCAAACACCACGACTTTGGCACTCTAGGTCTAATACTTAACACCCTTAGCTCCATCTCACAGGCTGGAGATTTCCGTATGAGGAATGAAGAACGCATCGCAGTAGCCAGTCCTGCTGGAGTGTATGCACTCACAGAAATCTCAAGGAAGCGAATGAATCGCAAAAATCACAGCACTTCTCTCCTCATAGACAAAGATGGGCTGTGCACTAACTCTGCACACATATGTGAACTATTCAACAAAACGTTTGCAAGTAACTACCTTAAGCCCTCAGTCCAGTTACTTGATATACACCCTGCTACTAATATGGCACAAACTCCGTCTGCACTCACACCAAACCAAGTTAGCACTGTTGAATTCAATTACACTAATATTAACCAAACTATAAGAACCCTCAAAAGTTCAAAAGGTTTTGGTACTGACGGTATGTCATCCTATTTTTATAAAGATGGTGGCCCTGACATTCCTCTACTGCTGCTTAAAATATTCACAACGTCCCTAGAAACCCAAACTTGCCCTGATATATATATGCTTAAACACAAATCTGGCTCGAAAACAGATTTCGGTAACTACCGGCCGATCAATATCACACCTATCGCATCTAGAATAATGGAGAGACTAGTTAAAGATAACCTGATCAAACATATGCCTGGCTGCCACATTATAATTCCGAACCAACATGAATCCCTAAAATCCAGATCTTGTTTAGCATGCCACCCAGACTTCTTTAAGTTTGCGACCAGCAGTCGTGACAGACGGCAACTAGCACTTATCATCTACTTTGACATTTCTAAGGCATTTGACCGTGTCGACCATTTACTGCTAATACACAGGCTGAACTCCTTAGGAATACGTGACCCATCATTAGGATGGCTTAAATCATACATTAACAAAAGGTGCCAAATAATTAAACTCGGGTCTGTAACTTCCAAACCTAGCCCAATCAATTCTGGTGTAGTACAAGGTAGTGTCATTGGATCCCTCCTATTTGCACTATATATCAATGATATATGCTTTCAATGCAGTTGACGATTCAAGAATCAATTCATGGTTGTTTGCTCAAACCCAACTCCATATTTTTCACGGGAGTCATCAATACGGCAAACGTCGTCTCATCGTTCGCTGTTCGGTGAAAGAGAGAAAACTATCAGAAGTATTATCGTGATTTATTGTTATAACATTTATTCGTAGACCTTGTGTATAATAACCTTATTGTTGGTTACATATTGGCGAAGGAATAAAGGATTCTCGAGTCGCCAATCAGTGTTTTGGTTTTCTCGTTGGTTAATACAAATGGTTTCTGAAAGTCCTCCAGGAACAGCGTGAGGTCCAGTGTACTGAGACCTAGACATCGACAGTTTATGAGAGTTGGTTGACAGTTTCTGATAGTTTTGGATAGTTTCTGTTCGTCTTTCCTCGTGTCTGCCCGTCTTCTTTGGACAAATGTTATCTGGAACTTTACTGGACTGTTTGGTCAAGTTTAGTGATGTCTAGGTCAAAGAAGGGACAAAGCGTCTTGGAAGCAGACGGGAAAGTAAGCAATGCTGAGTTGCTTGTTTATTGTAATGATATGTATAATGCTCAGCATGATGAGTCTGTTGTTCATGGTCCGCCGTCTGGAGATAATAGGAATTTTAAACTGCCTAAGTTCGAGCCTCGGTGATTCGGCGGAAACCCAGCTGTTCATCCACAGTTTGTCACAGAGTCTGAGGTCGAATTGGGTGGTTTTCTAATAAATGAGGAAATCAAGTTAATGTATTTATTGAGATATTGCACTGGAGACGCTTCAAGAGCTATACAGTGTTGTAAGGTTGTTCCCGTGAACGAAAGATACATTGAGGCTACGATTATACTGCGTCAAAGATTCGGAACAGCTTCAATGATTGAAAAGAATGTCAGTCTCGTCTCGTAAACCGTTAATGCCCAGCTCTTGCTACGCTGGGACTCACGCTGTCCCTCGAAGCTTCTCAGAAACGCTTAGTACAAACGGACGCAAAAGCCAGAACGCAGTTTGGCGATTCGAGAATTATTTTTTATAACACCAACATATAACCAATATTACAACTAAGGTCTATGAACAAATATTACAATAATAAATCACAATATTACTTCTGACGGTTTTCTCCTGACTTCTTTCTGAACAGCGACCGATAAGACGATGACCTGCTGATCGATGCCTCCGCGAAAATTGGGGAAGTTGGGTTTGAGCAAACAACCGTGAATTGATCGTTCAATCTTCAACTACATTGACACTCCCCGGCAAAAAACGGATCCATTCCTTTTTTCCATCACGACCAATACACGTTGACTTGGATGCCATTGCGAGAACCTCGGTCACACGGACAAAGCTGAAATGGAAAACAAACAGAAAAGCCAACACACCACAGGCATACTCACAGCACAATCTCACACATCGATGACGACCTGCGCCTTCCAGTCAAAGGTAACCTCCTGACATCTTGCAACACAATCGCCACTTGCTAGAATGACTCCTGCAGAATGAAACGTGACCATAGCAGCACCTCATGATACTCTTCGAACATCCTCTTATCTGCTCACTACCAATTACCACTGCAATCGCTTGTCACTCATTCTGCCTCAGTTCTAGTAACGGTGACGTATGCGAGCCTCAGTCGTTTACACTCTTTCTCGCCGGTGTGTGGGACCGCAGCTAACAATTATCTCCGTATGCATATCATTCTCAGCAATAGCCTCCCCGGCGTATACGACCCATCTGCTGTCTTTAACATCAATCAATTCACTCACGAATGCAGAAGACTAGAATCAACTTCAGAAGTAAGCACAACGAAAATTTTAACAAAATTATGCAATAACAACAAGGTACGAAAACAACGAGTAAACACAATGAATCCAAAATCACCAATTGATATGACACACCACACGTATATACAAACAGTACACATAACCTCGCAGATCATGTCTTGATGGAATTCCTGTGAAGAATCGCAGGACTTACATCAGTACGCCTGCAACCCTTCTCAGGTTGACGATTGTAGGTTGAAGAATGTCGGGACACAAACGAGATTAACGAACAATTACATTATTTGAAACCCACTCAATTATTTAACACAAACATATGTACAATCAAGACATCAAATGTTGTGGTTTCTGCCTTGATGAACTACCCTTGAAGAACTGTAGGACTTACAGCAGTACGCCTACATTCCTTCTCAGGTTGATAACACAAGTGGAAGACGTCCGTACACAAACAAAAATTATCAACAGACAGATGAAAGATGATATCAATCCAGCATATGCAACATGAACATGTGTACAAAATCACACACCAAGCACGTTGGGCTGCTTGTTGATGCGCTACCCTTTGAAGAATTGTAGGACTTACAGCAGTACGCCTACAACCCATCTTAGGTTGACGCCCTAGGTTGGAAAATCGTCACAGAGTTCATTTGCTGAC